GTGTGAATCTGCATGTGCATGTGAATGTAAAGAAAAATGTCTGGCCAGATGAGCTTCAAACTACTGACAGTGGATATGTCTGAAGGAGTGAGGCTGAGGAAATAGAATAGTGAAAGATAGCTCTGACTTTTTACTATATATGCGTTTGTATTTTTAAAATTTTAAGAAAATGCATTCTCATATTAATTGAGCATTTTTTAGACACTAAAAATTAAACTAATTCCTAAAAATAAAAGGCTTTCTGGCTGTATTATGAAAGATAAATTGGAATGGAGCAGGAAGAAAGGGAAACTAGTTAGAAGGCCACAATAACAGACCAGATGAGAAATGATAATGGCCTAAGCTAATATTGTGGCAGTAGGAACAGAAAGGAAGAATAAGGTTTAAGACATGAAACCATGAAAACCTGGTGTTATCAATAGGATCTAAAAACTGAGGCAGAAAGGGAATTTAAAGACAATTCCTAGGATGCTGGCTTGTGTGACTAAGTGGGTAGAGGAATTGTTTTGGAATGAGTGATATGTTCACTTTTGAACATCTCTCCTCTGAGGTACATGTGAAATATCAAGGTTGAGATGACTGACAGGAAGTTGGAAGGCTAAAGCTCAGGAAAAAGAGCTGGCCTAATGACAGATTTCAAAATCATCATCATAACATGTAGTAGCTGAAGCCACAGAAGTAAAAATCACTCAAAGATAGACTGTATTAAAAGATGGGTAAAAAAGGAGAGAGGCCAAGGAACACCAACAAGAAAGAAACCCAGAAAGCAGAGAAGGCTCACAAAGAGTGGCCAGAATTTTAGGAGTAAATCTGGAGACTGTGGTGTTGTAAGAAAGCAAGGAAGAAAAGTTTCAAGAAGAAACAAGCAGTCAACAGTTTCAAATGTTGCAGAAAAGTCAATAACATAAAAAGTGAATGTCAACTATTTTGTTAACAAGGAAGACACTAGTAACCTTGTAAGGGCAGTCCAAGAGCATTGGTGGGGACAGAAGTCAGATTATAGTAAACTAAGAAATCAATGGATGGTAAAAATGGGGATAGTAAAGTGGATTATCCTTTCAAGAAATTGGCAGGGATCATGGAAAATTTTATTTACAGCCTGATCACAACTATGTCAAAAACCAAAAAAGTCACGAAGGATTATATATGCTCAAAACAGCTGTCTTTGAGCAATGGGTGTTTTTTTTTCTTTCTACTTTTCTATATTTTCCATGTCTTATAAAATGCCCACATACTACTTTTATTATCAGAAAAGAATAGCTGCTTCATAATTATCTGCTTAAAAGAAAACTTGACTTGGAAAGGAGAGAGGAAGAGACAGACAAAGTTAGATAAACTCAAGGGAATATTTTTTTTAAAATGGAAAAGACTTGAGAATATTTATAAGTTTAGAGGGAAGAGGTAAGAAAGGGAAGGTGGTTGAAGATATATTCATGATAAGGACAATAGAGCAAGGATCTAGAAGAACAGAAGGTAAAAGAATCCAGAATATGGATCCAGATAGACAATTTTTCCTCTAAGATAGTAAGAATAGGCAATGATGGCAAAAAAAAAAAGTAAGTGGTTGAAGTAGTTATTTTGTGATGGTTTCTATTTTCTTTATGAAAGTCTGAAAGTATGGGATGCAGCAAGAAGTTTAAGAAGGATTTATGGTTTAGAACAGTCAGTGTGGGGCACTGGAGAGGGAGCTGACAGTGGACAAGTGAGAAAAATGCTAAGCAACACTAGGAACCTGGCTGTGACTAGAAACTAAGTATAAAGGTGGCATAAATTTACACCATTATAGTATTTTCTCCTATAGGGCTAAATTTGAGAGACTAAAAGGAGAAAGGACTGTTTCAGGGTTGAGGATTTTCAGGGCTAGTATGGCAGAAGGACAAGAGAAAGAGGTTCAGACCACCAAAGCTGCACTTTGAATTGAACAGTCAGGACTAGGTACTTCTCCTCCATGCTTTGGGAATGTCCTATGCATCCTCTATCACTGATTACACTGTTTCCTAATTGCTATGGTTTGAATGTTTGTCCCCTCCAAAGCTCATGTAGAAGTTTAATCCCCAATATGGTATTTGAAAGGTGAGGCCTTTTTTTTTTTTTAAATATTACATCTCAAACTCTAATTGAGAATGTCAACTTTCAGTTAACTAGATTGTCACTTTTCTTTTTTTTTTTAATTTATTTATTTATTAAGAATACTCATGAGATACAAAGCTGATTGTCCCCCCTCCTGCCCATGATGTGAGGGCCAGATTCATACTGGGGGCATACCCATTACCAGAAATTACTTTTGTACCCTTTGTCCCTTCCCAATTATCCCCCAACCGCCCTCCCTCTCCCCCCCCCCAATTTGTAGCCCTAGGAATGTTCCCTTCTTCTGTTGGATCATGGCACTACTGTGGTCTTTCTTTCCTGCCTTCCTTTCTCTCTTAGTTCCCACATATGAGTGAGCACATGTGGTATTTATCCCTCTGTGCTTTGCTTGTTTCACTCAATGTAAGTTTCTCCAGGTTCATCCATGTTGTTGTAAATGGGGGTATTTCATTCTTTTTTATGGCAGAGTAGTATTCCATAGTGTATATATACCACAGTGTATATATACTTATATATCCTTATAAGGTGAGGCTTTTTTTTTTTTTTTTGTCTTTTTCGTGACTGGTAAGGGGATCACAACCCTTGGTGTGGTGTCGCCCACACCGCGCTCAGCCAGTGAGCGCACCGGCCAATCCTATATAGGATCCAAACCCGTGGCGGGAGCATCGCTGTGCTCCCAGCGCCGCACTCTCCCGAGTGTGCCACGGGGCCAGCCCTAAGGTGAGGCCTTTTTAAGAGGTGATTGGACCATGAGGGCTATGTCCTCATGAATGGATGAATGGATTAGTCCATTCATGGATTAATGCGGTAACAGATTAAATGGTTATCATGGGAGTTGACTGGTGGCTTTGTAATGGGAGGAATAGAGCAACTGAACATGTTCTTGCCCTCTCGCCATGTGATATACCCTGCACTACCTCATGACTCCGCAGAGAGTCCCCA